CAAAGCATATAGGTTTTGGAAAGTATAATGGCCTTTTCCATATAACTGTCCACCCATTAAATCCAGATTCATATAGAGATCCTGCCTATAGGTTTCCGTTATCTTAAATCAGCAACTGTCTTTGTTAATCTGACTTGCGTGCATTTGTTGTCTAATTTCGGAGGCCAACTTGAGCCTTTACTTGCTCTTAAATGAAAGTCCAATGTGTTTTGAATGTCGCCTGGCTTTTTGACATTTTTGAGCAACCTATGTTAAGGTCTAGAACCACCCTGAAATAGAGGTCCAAATTCCTCCTGGACTATAGGTATGGAACGGGTAGTGCACGCATAGGATACGACTTAGAATTGACTAGTGCGCTTTAAGTAAACAACTTAAAGATAGTAATTGGGTAGCAGGAGATGATAGTCTGTGCCCGCTAAATAATATGAGTAACACCCCATCTTGAGGGAGTTACGGAGTATTATTTATGTTGCACGGGGTGATCCTTTAGGCTAAAAAATTTAGGACCCCCCACCTTGTCTTTCATCAATTATTTGTGTTTAATAATGAACTTCCTGAATCCCTTGTTTCTTAGTTCTGATCACGTAAGACTAATTCATATAATTGAGTTCGGCCGGGACCACAGTTGTGGACCTCGAAGAGTGCCTAACACCTTCTCTTCGAGGTAATTTCGAGCCCTTACCCGATCTTTGGTGACGCAAACTGGTTAAATCAGAGTTATTTGCAAATAGGTGCCCTAACGCACCTTAATTCGTTAGGTGGCAACTCTCTCTTTTTAAACCCTTCCTTAAAAGAGTTGTCACGTGTCGAAACTCGATTTCGCGAGAAAAAGGGCGCGACACTATCCTTAACTAAAACTTGCCCCACGACCTTTAGCATAAAATCACACCGCCCTAAGGCTCATAGACAGTTGTATTCCTTCTTCAGCACCCCCAAAAGTAGCACAACCGGGATACCCGCTCTGAAGAGAACTTCTGCGAATCTAAAGCCATTACCTTTGCCTTCTTGATGCTGATATGCAGAACCCATAATGATATAGAATTGCCACAAGTCCTGACATCCTCCAATACAAATCTTAGTTGCTAGCCAAATACACATCCTGAAGATTCCTAATTGCCACGTATAAATCTTGAATTCATTGGAACCATTCTCGAGAGTCATCCACTATGATCAAATCTCAATTAGACTGACCAAACGGACCGAACGACTCGTGCCCCATTAGCACTCCAACACCCAAGGAAGTAACTCCACCTTAATACAATCAAATAAATTCCTGCTCCATGCACATTACATCCTTCACCAATAATGACTGAAATCGTTCCGTGATCCTCATATACTCATAAAGCCAAATACAAATCGTACCCAGAAATTTCTTGTACTCAAGTCATCCTCAATCTCACCCTCTGCAGAACATAACTCATTCACAAATATACCTCAACCAAAACCAATACGACACATAACCGTGAAATCAACTTATCAATAGTGAACTCCCCCACTTGGATCAAGTCTATAGATCAAAACACACCATAACTCCCAATGCCCATACTTTATTCAACCATAATACCGTAGTGAGATTCAACTAATTCCTCCATAAGTTCATGCAACACAAACCATATAATACCTCAAATCATTTGCAAATCTCGTATTCATCCTCGTAACAGTCAAGCCCACTATCATAAGCAATCCAAACTCAAATTGCAACACATATTTCACTGGTAAAAGAGAACTCCCAACAAACAACTTAGGGATCACACAAGCCTCAGGACCCCCCGCAGGAGATAGCCCACTTGCTTTGCCTCAAACTGACCTCTCTCTATACCCTCCCACAGTCAATAACATTACGCAATCACTTAATCTCCCTGAGTCTGAACTCATATCACGGCATGAAATCTACTTCAATCCTCAACTAATCAACATGAAAAGACCCTTCAACACACCCATAACTCGGGACTATACATCAAATCAAGATGGAAATCAAGCACCAAATAGTTCTCTCTACACTTCAAGCAGACCCTTTCGTCACATTCAACCATATGAACACATCTCGCAGTCACATCATACATATCACGTAGCCATCCAGCCACAAATTCTACTAATAGTGACACTACCGGACATATAAATCCAAAAGCACGTGCTCACACAATCAACACCTCTGTGCTCAAACCACAGTCAAAACCCATCCTCAAGTCCTTCAGACTGGCCTATCATCAGCATATCGAAATCATATCTCGCACCTCTTCCATGGAATCACAAGCCGTCGATGTACAGTTGATACCGAGCGCTCACATGCGCATACAAATGCATGGAAGGAATTCAAAGAGTTACGCTTCAAGCTAAATCAATGCCGCACGATAAAGAAAGAAAGATGGGAAGTATATCCTAAATGTCCTGTAATCTCTCGAGGATAGATATGGACGTCATCATACCAATCCGCAAGACTCTACTAGACACTTGCTCATGACTTGTAGAACCTATGAACTTAGAGCTTTGATACCAATCTATCACGATCCAAAATCCACCAGTCGTGATGTCAACTAACCCAACCGGCTAGGTAAGCCAATTAACAATTTATCCAATTCCATTTATCCTAAAAAAATAATTAAACAACAGAATTATCTAAATCTTATGCATTTCCCAAGGACTGGTAGTACAAATCATGAGCTTCTAAGAATAGAGTTTACAAAGCAGATATGAAGAAAATACATCTTCTGTTTGAAAATTACATAAACAGAGTTCATAAATCTAAGGCTACCGTGAACAAGAGGCAGCTACAACAAGAACACAAGTACGCCTTCGAATCCAGCAGACATCGATCGCAGCAACCTCATCATTCGGGATCTGCATGCAATGTGCAGGAAGTGGAGTATGAGTATAACCGACCCCATGTACTCAAAAAGTAACCAACCTAACCTTAGGTTGAAAGCAGTGACGAGCTGGTACATAGGTCGGGTCCAACATAAATAACCAACAGTAGTTCATACAGTGTACAACAAATAAGTACAAAAATAGCTCAGAAATAAAGTGCTTAGCCTTTTCATAGTTTTCCAAAAACAGTTCCACTTTTCATGTATACCAATGAAAGCCCAAATCCTTTACCGAAACCGTTAAAAATATGAGTAAGTTATAAAAAAACTGTAACTTTTTCTTGAAAATTCCTTTCAACAATAAGTAAACATGTTTTATTTCCTTTTCAAATAACAAGTGTGAAATACCTCTTTATAACCACATATCAATGTATGTAAAAAGTCATGAATGACGTGATAACGTACAACATGAGGGAAAATGCATCTCTATACATGTATGCCAGATGTGCATGCCAATACCATGTACCTCAGAGATGAATCATGTACTCACACTCTCAGAGTACTCAACCTCACTGCATCCCACTCAACCACTCGGTACTGTATATGGCCCATACAGCCCAGGGAAATCCATCTCGCAACATATACAACACTGACTATAAGTCGCTCAGTATCGAGGATAAAGGGTAATCCAACCCTGTGGAGAAATCCATCTCCAGGTATCAAGTACTTCGCACAAATCCATGCCCAGGGAAATCCATCCCTCAATGATGTATAAATGCTCAACCACCCGGTACCGTATATGGCCCATGCGGCCCAGGGAAATCCATCCCGGAACATACTCAACAATGACTAGACATCACTCGGTACCGAGGAAAAAGGAAAATCCATCCCTGTGGAGAAATCCATCTCCATATTTCAATACTTCAGAGAAATCCATGTCTAGGGAAATCCATCCCTCAATAATATCATCCGCGCTCACTGGGGTGTGTTACAGACTCCGGAGGGGCTCCTACATCCCAAGCGCTATAATCTGAACGGACAACTCACGTGTTGCATGGGCAACTCACGTGCTATATTATCTATATCAGAATCCGCACGGACAACTCACGTGCCATAGTCTCAACATCTCACAATTAGGCCCTCGGCCTCACTCAGTCATCAATCTCTCCAGTCTCACTCACGGGCTCACAATGTCATGAAAATCGACCCGAAACAATGATATGATGCATCAATAAGTAACAACTGAGACTGAGATGTGATATGAATGCATCAATGTGACTGAGTACGAAATATCAATGAATTCAATGAGATGACAGCAAGAAACGACCACTTTGGGTCCCAACAATAACAGCATAAATCCTAAGCATGATATCTAGCATGATTTGACAGCTCAAATACTTAATCACATGGTGAAAATACAGATATCAACAAGAATAGGGCCACTATTCAGTGCCTGCGGGAACAACAAAGTCCCAATTCACAGGGTGCACGCCCGTCACCTAGCATGTGCGTCACCTCAACACCAATCACATAGCACATAATTCGGGGTTTCATACCCTCAACACTAAGATTAGAAGAGTTACTTATCTTAAACCAGCCAATTCCGACACCGAGCAAGCCTGGGGATGCTCCAAGAGTTCCATCACATGCGTAGACCTCCGAACGGCTCAACACTAGCCAAAAACAACTCAAATACATCAGATAAAGCCCAAGGAAACAATTACAATTGATAAAGATTGAATCCGAAGCCAAATTCCCAAATCCGGCCCAAAATCACACCTGGGCCCATATCTCGAAACTCGACAAAACTCACAAAATCCGACAACCCATTCAATTACGAGTCCAACCATACTAGTTTTACTCAATCCGACCCCAAATCGGTGCTCAAAACTCATATATTCATATTATGAAACTTTAGGCCAAAACCCCCAATATGCTCTTTCAATTCACCAACCAAAAGCTAAAATCAAAGATAGATTCATGAAATATAACCAAGACCGAGTGTAGAATTACTTACCCCAATGATTTCCTTAAAAAACTCCCAAAAATTTGCCTCAAACTGTGCTCCCAAAGTCCAAGATGTGAAATAAAACCCTAAACCTCGCTAATATAGTGCTCTCTGAACTTCCAGTCTGCGGTCCGCGTATTTCTCATCGTGGTCCGCGAAATTCTACCGCGCCCGTGGGTCCTGAGATATCAGCTACCGCGGTCCGCATAAAATTCACTGCGGCCGCACAACCTCACCGCGGTCCGTGAAATCCTATCGCGGCCGCATAGTACCATCGCGGTCCGCGAAATTCCCTCCGCGACCGCACTTCCAAGATCCGAGACCTGCAACTTTCCAACACCAGATAACAGATATTTCCAACTTCCAAAGCCAAATAGTGATCCGATAACCACCCGAAACTCACCCGAGGTCCTCGAATCCTCGATGAAACGTACCAGCACATCCCACAACATCATTCGAACTTAGTTGAACCTTCGAATCGCACAAAACAACATCAAAACAGCAAATTACATTCGGATTCAAGCCTAAGAACCTCTAAATTTTCAAATTTCACCTATCAAATCACGTCCAATTGACCCCAAATTTCGTACACACATCACAATTGGTACTACAAACCTGCTCCAACTTCCGGAATTCCATGTCGACCCAATATCAAAATTTTCACTGCCGACCGAAAATCGCCAAATTTCCAATTTCGCCAATTCAAGCCTACTTCACCACGGTTCTCCGAATCACATTCCGGACGCGCTCCCAAGTCCAAAATCACCTAGCGGAGCTAACCAACCCATAAAAATCCAAATCCGATATCGAATACTAAAAGGTCAAAACTTTGTCAAACCTTTCAAATTTAAAGCTTCAAGCTGAAATCATTCTTTAATGTCTGTTCCGATTAACCTAAAAACCAAAACTGACGATTTACATAAGTCATAACACATCACACGGGCTAGTCATGCCCGAGAACTGGCGAGCAAAGTGCAAATGCTCAAAACGACCGGTCCGATCGTTACAAACATACTTTGTGACGACAAGTCCTTGTTGAATTCTTTCTCTCACGAAGTGACAGTCGATTTCAATATGCTTGGTTCTTTCATGGTAGATCGGGTTTGCAGCTATTTGTATAGCTGCTTTACTGTCACTGTAGATATTGATGGGTAACTGTATCTTTGTATCAACTTCTGTTAGTAAACCATATAGCCAAATAAGTTCTGCGACTGTTGTTGCTAAGCTTCTGTATTCTGCTTCTGCAGAGCTTCGAGATATAGTAGTTTGTTTCTTAGACTTCCATGAGACTAATGAGTCACTAACTTTAACTAAAAAACCTATAACTGATTTTCTGGTCAAAGGACATGCAGCTCAGTCTGCATCACAAAAGGCTGTAATTGTATTGTTTTGAGAGCTCGATAGTAAAATTCCTTGTCTTGGCTGATTTTTAACATACTTTACTATTCTTAATGCAGCTTCCATGTGTGATATTTTAGGCTGTTGAAGAAATTGGCTAAGAGTTTGAACTCCAAATGCTATGTCTGGCCTTGTTACAGTCAAGTATAGTTGTTTTCCTCTTAGTCTTTGATAGGAAGTTTGATCAACTAACCTGTCTTCTTCTTCTGAGCATTCTGCCTCATCAATGTAATCATCGTACTGTTTAGAGGTTAATTTGATGTTGACATCAGTTGGATTTATTTCCGGTTTGGCTGCAGCTAATCCAGCTTCTAAAATCAATTCCAAAGCATATTTTCTCTGATGCATAGTTATTCCTTTATTGGACCTAGAAAACTCAATTCCTAAGAAGTATTTTAGCTCCCACTGATCTTTCATTTTGAATGCATTGTGCATTAGATTTTTTGTTTCCTCAATCAATTTCAGACTATCACCTGTGATTAACATATCATCTACATATACTAGAATTATAGTAGTACCTTCAGTTGTTTTTCTGATGAATAGGGAATGATCATACTGGCTTTGTTTGAAGTTGAACCTCAGCAATGCTTCACACAATTTTGCATTCCATTGTCTAGGTGCTTGTTTAAGACAATATAGGGATTTAACAAGTCTACACACATTGTTCTCCCCTGACTTTTAAATCCCTGTGGTAGATCCATATAAATTTCATCAAATAAGTCACCTTGCAGAAAAGCATTATATACATCCATTTGATGTATATACCACTTCCTTGTAGCTGCTAAGGCAAGAATAGTTCTTACTGTGACCATTTTCACTACTGGTGAAAATGTTTATTGATAATCAATTCCCTCCTTTTGGCTATAGCCTTTGGCTACTAATCTAGCTTTGAACCTTTCAATTTCTCGTGAGGCTTTGTATTTGATTTTTCTAAATCTATTTGCATCTATGGGCTTCTTGCCTTCTGGTAGTGTTACAATGTCCCATGTATGGTTGTTCTCAAGAGCTTTTATCTCTTCATTCATTTCTTGTATTCATCTAGGATCTAGAATTTCTTCAGAGTAGTTAGTTGGTTCTATGACTGATACAGTTGCAGCTAGGTAGGACTGATATTTAGAGGAGAGATGATCATAGATGATATACTTGTTTAGAGCATATGGTACATTTTGATGAATATTGAGAGACACAAAATCCTTCATCCAGAATGGAGGATGTTTGTCTCTGCAGGATTTCCTAACTTCACTCAATGGTTGATTTTGTATCTCAGTAGTGGCAGATGGTATTTGTGGTGGATTATGATCAGACTATGTAGGTTTTGTATAGAAATCCATGTCTGTATGTTCTGTAAGCATATCTGTATTGCTTTCTTCTGTGTTTTGTTGTATGTCTGTTCCACCTCTTCCATTGTTGTCACCTTCATTAGTAGCTGTAGTTTCTATTCTATTTTCAATCAGTATTGTAGAATCATGTAATTGCATTCCTAAGCCTGTGTTGTATCAACAAATACTTGTTGAGAATTATCTTCTTCATGAAGGGAAATACTTCTTCTCTAAATGTTACATCTCTATTTATGAAGAATGTCTTAGTAGCAGGATCATATAAGATGTATCCTTTTTGGACTTCTAAGTATCCCATATGTATGGATAGTTTTGCTCTAGGCATTAGCTTGTCATGCCCTTGTACAGTTTTAGCAAAGCATAGACATCCCAACATTCTAAGATGCATTAGAGAAGGCTTCCTTTTATGTAATCTTTCAAATGGAGATATGTTGCCAATAACAAAACTAGGCATTCTGTTTATTAAGTAGACAACAACTAATATGCAATGACCCTAGAATTTAATAGGTATTTGAGCTTCAAATCTGATAGCCCTTGTGACTTCTAATATGTGTATGTGTTTCCTCTCAGCTACCCCATTCTGCTGAGGGGTATATACATAGGTTCTTTGATGTATAACTCCCAGATTTTTGAATAATTGTTCACAATCTCTATACAATTATCAGTTCTTATTGCCTTCACTGTTACATCAAACTAAGTTCTGACATAATTAAGAAATACTGAATTGAAACACATGCGTCAGACTTTTGCTTTAGTAGAAACACCCAAGTCATTCTTGAAAAATCATCTACAATAGTCAAAAAATACTTATTTCCATCCAATGTAGCAATTCTATAAAGCCCTCACAAATCTACATGTATTAGATCAAATCATTTACTACTCTAAATACTACTTGTAGGAAATGGCAATCTAGCATGTATAGCAAAAGGACATATTGTGCATTTATTTATTCTACTCTTGATAGTATCAATATCTATAGGTAGTATTTTCCTAAGAGTCTAAGTAGACATATGACTACATCTTCTATGCCAGAGTATCACATCTGATTTGTCAGCCTCATTTGTATCATTTGCTCTTGTAGTTACGGCAACCATTCTGTTCCTTTCATATGTGTTAGTGTATTGTAGGTATAGGCCACCATCCTTTTTACCAATGCCCTTCATGTTACATCCCGTACTTTAATATTAGGATAAGTCGTAGTAATCCATATGAGCTTAAAGGGATTAAGACCATTCATGAGGTTATAGAGGATTTGCAACTATGTTATTGTAAGACCCTGTAAGTTTAACAACATTGATACCGTTATATACATTTTATATGGTATTTTGAGTGGAAAATTTAGTGTAAAAAGTTTTTAAAAAAATATGATTTTATATAGTTATTAATATTACTACTTCCGGATATGCGTTAAATCATACACATAATATGAGAAAGTTTATGAGATTTTCTTATTGTAAAGATAGAAACTATTTTCTCACAAAGAAAAGAAGGTTTTTTTACCATTTTAAGAATTAAGCGTATGAAAATTTATACTCTTTATATGAGATTAGGAAAATTAAAAGTTGAGAATATATATATATCTCTTTATATGAGATTAGGAAAATTAAAAGTTGAGAATATATATATATATTTACATGGATATTTTAANATATATATATATATATATATATATATATATATATATATATATATATATATATATATATATATATATATGGATATTTTAATGAAATAATAGTGTATGTATTTATTTTATATGGTACCACATGACTATGATAGTAGGGTATATAAAGTGTGCTAAAAGTGAGTAGTATTTTAAATAATTTTAGATAATTCTTAATTATGTGGATAATTAATTATTTCTGTGGATAATTATGATATGAAATAGGATTAAGTGGATAAAGAGTTTTTCTATAAGGTTCCCCATGGCACTAAGCTAGGCCAAGGTGGTACCAATGTGCATAATGAGTCATAACACATATGGTGCCTTGATTACACGTGAAATATGCTTTGGTTTAATAAATTCCACAATTGTCGCTATTGATTGTATTTTAGGATGCTTGTTAATTGAATACAGAATTAGTGTTCCCTGGAGAACCCTTTATAGACGTTCCATCTCCTTTTCAAAGTACAAAAATGCAGAAAGTGCTTCAACAATTCATACAATCATTTGGAATGGTAGTAACTTGATTTTTCTTGAAACAAAATCCATACGAGACTTCGTAGCATAATAGCAATGGGATTTTGCGATTCTAAGGGAGTACGTTGCAATCTTTCTCAAGAATATCATACGGAGTTTTTCCTACTCCAATCTTGCCGTCATGTGTTTTGTCGCAATTAACGTGTGTTAGAGGGATTGTCAAGAGAATCGACTCAGGTATGTTAAGGCTATCCCTTCTTTCTTTTGGCATGATCCAAGCAACGATACGTAAACATAATGATATTCCATAAGTGGTTCTACTCTTAGCAGTTAAGGATGTATATATTATTCATTCCTGTAAAGTGATACTCAAGCATGTCTTAGTATGTTGCTAAGTCTCTATTGAGGTATTGGATAAGGATGTTAATGTTATTATATAGTAATATATGCATCTTCATGCATATGCATTTACCATCGCGCTACGGCCGGTCGGGCAGTTACCACTGATCAGTTGGGCAGTCATGCATCTTTGTTTACCACCGTACTATGGCCGGATGGGCAGATATGCATTTACCACCGGGCTACGACCGGTCGGGCAGTTACCACTGATCAGTGTGGCAGTCATGCATCATAAGATATGGATAATAGTCTCAAAGAGAAGCATTGTATGTATATGAGTATAATAAGTATGCATATATGGTGGCACTCCAGAGATTCAGGTTGACTCTTATATGTCTTTAATTAATGTTGACTTATTGTTATGTTTCAGTTCTGCCTTACATACTCAGTACATTATTCGTACTGACGTCCTTTAATTGGGGACGCTACATTCATGCCTGTAGGTATAGATAATCAGTTTTAAGAGCCCTCATAGTAGACGAGATTGGCATTAAACAAAGGATCGGTAAGACTCTACCTCATTCGGAGTGCAGCCGAGTCTATGAGTCATCGTGTCAGAATTTTGTTACAGACTTGTGGGTAGGCCGGTACCCTATCCCATTTTGATGTCAAATAATCTTAGAGGCTTTGTAGATAAAGGTTTATTTTGTACAGTATGTCAGAGGCCCTGACGGCCCATATATATTCATATTTTAAGAAAGATGGTTCATTGATTTCGTGTTTGCCCACTTACAGTTGTACATTATGAGTTATGGCCATGTGGGCCCATGATAGTTACGAAAGGAATGAGTTTAGCTAACTCGACCTATGTATGTTCTAGTTTTGGTCGAACGATCATGAGTTACAGAGTGGTTCGCTTGGGCCAGCACGGTACCAGGTGCCAGCCACACATCCCAAAGTTTGGGACGTGACACTTCACCTTCCTAGTGAAGAGTTCCTGAAATACACAAAAAACAAAAAAAAAATTGATGAGCATTGCAACTCTTTGGTTAGCTTAGAAACTGACAGAAGATTGTACTTGAATTGAGGAACATAGAACACATTTGTTATTGTGCTATTCTCTAATATAGAACTTGCTCCTGTATGAGTAACAGTTGTAATGTCACCATTTGGTAATAATACTTTCTTTGGATTGTTTGTTTAAATTACTGTTTTCTCATCCAGTAAGGTTTTGTCAGACATCGTATGATTTGTTGCCCCTGTATTTATAATCCACTGACTAAGACAATTAGAAACTAATAGAGTTGTATCTACCTGCCACATTAGCTACTAAAGTTGAACTTGGCATATTGGTTTTGTTCAACATTTGAAAAATCTATTCATACTGTGTTTTTGTGAGAACATAGTTCTCAAGACCTGAATTTTTTATATTTAGATTAGAGCCTTGAGCTTCAGCACTACCTCCATTTTTTACCTGATCCTGCACATTTGTATTTTGTCCATAATTGAATACAGATGGTTCCTGCTGGTCT